TGAATGTACAAGTGGCTCAAACTCGCTCATTTTGAGGCAGGAACCGGCGGACGTGCAACAACTTTAACTATGAGGTAAACACGAAACAAAACTTTCCATCCGGAGCTCCTTCACGGGACTCCACACTTGTAAACAATCGCTTCATCGGGCTCACGCCGCTCCCACAGCTCTCGGTGCCGCCCAGACTCGTCAGCGCTACCAAGCCGACCAATCACAGAGCTTGCGGTGCGACATGTAGTTAAATTTTTTTGAGAGGTGCACATCAGCAACGCCGTAACATACGCATCAGCTTGACACAGAAGTATAAATCAGCTTTTAGAGGTCAGAGGAGTGAGCTTTACCTGCAAAGCACTTCACTAGCTGGCCTCCGTTACACTTGAGGTGTGAAACAGGTTTAAGGTGACGAGTTGTCATAAGCATGCACAAAATCACATTCACATTATAAAGGATTCATAACAGTCTTATGAAGGCCCCTTCAAGTAAAGTGATACCAAGAGTTCCTACTACTGGCTAACTCTTGCTGCTGGCGCTTCAGTAAAGTGCAAATACAGATGGGAATCTTTCCCTAAAACTGCCACTTCAGCGCTTTGATGAGCGTTTGGAGAAACTATTTATATTCCAACTACTTTAATTGACTTTAGATAGTCTAAACTCAAAATAAAACACTCAAACGGCACTTCAAAAAGCTGGTATACACTTCAGCCTTTATTGAAAGATCCAGTATGAACTCTAAGACAGATGATTCGGAGCACAGACAATAAAAAAGCCACAATGATTGATACGTGCACCTGTGTTGAACCACAAAACCAGATCACAACCAGATGCAAATTAACCGTCGACTATAAACAACGTTACAATAATCATTTATACAGGGTATAAAGAGATCCGATAAAACAAGGTCTGTTCTGCATTACGTCTGGATCTGGATAATAGACAAAAGCACTGTTCCCAGATTGTAGCATGAAATAAACAAACTGGGATTGATTTCAGGCTGAATGCATCAACACAGCATATCCCACATAGCCTCGCAGAAGCTACATGTGTCCTGTGCATTTATTGATATTGCGGCATGCGATTCATATGAGGATTACGGGTACATTTCAAGCAGGATCCATTCATCTGTCTTAATGTACAATGAAGGTATAGTTTACAGTAAACTGAATGCATTGCTAATGTAAAACCATGGTTAGTTGTGATGGGGAACATTTGATTCTGTTACTAATTGTTGTTAAACTTATTGTTAAACGTTTAATCCATGACATTTTCCACAGTTTTGTGCTTTAGCTTAATAAAATGAATCTGTTAGTAATGAAAGACAATGCTTACATATGAGAGTGAACGTTTGATTCTGTTGCTAATTGTTACTTTAAGAGTTTCCTCCACAGTCCAAACACATGCGCTATAGGTGAACTGAAGAAACTAAAATGGCCATAGTGTATAAGTGTGTGTGAGAATGAGTGTGTATGGGTGTTTGCCAGAACTGGGTTGCATCTGGAAGGGCATCCGCTGCATAAAACATATGCTGGAATAGTTGGCAGTTCATTCCGCTGTGGTGATAATTAAGTCGAAGGAAGGAAAAGTTTGTCTTGGATGTGCAAAATGTACCCGTAATTCTAGAATCCCCAAGATATGCAGGCGGATGGATGTTTGTCATGTCCGGCTCTTCAAGTGTAGTGTAATAAGGAGCTGTATTTGTCTCTCTTTACGAGGTAGGTACGGATGGTATTACGATCGTCAGTAACATCAAGTTATGCAATGTCAGTTTAGCAACAGTAGTATCATCTAAATCTGTTTCCCCCTTTAACAAATCAAGACATTAATCTTAATTTTAGATATGAAAAAGGCTTTTCATAGAGGTGTTTTGTCTTGTTTCTAGTGCAAAAAAAAAAAAAAAAATTAATAAAAGTCTAGACAAGCACAAAATATTAAGTTGTTTTCGGAAATAGAGTTAAAACTTAGTGAGTTTTTCCTTAAAACAAGCAAAATAATTTGCAATAATTATTTCAAAGCAATGGTTTATTTTGCTTCCCCCGTTGGCAGATTATTATTTTATTATTTTTAGTAAGCAGATTATTATTAGCTTGTCTAGAAAATGCTTCTTGATTTAGGCATTTTCAGATATTTGGACTAGAAACAAGACGAAAACTCTTAATAAAAAGCATTTTTGCAGTGAGTTTCTGGAGCGTAACACCGCAAGTACAGCATTTCCCTCCAGGACAGTACATAAGAACACTTGGTATGATTGCATTATGATAAAATAAAGGCACTTTTACCTAGCTAAAGTCATGCATCGGTGGGTTAACCGGGTGATATGAAGCGTAAACCTGTGGCAGCTGACCAGTGTTGGTGGATAAAGAAAATATAGATGGGTTCCAACATGCACATCAGTGTTCACACAGTACTAATCTCACAGCCGAGGGAATTATCCTGAGTTCAGTATTAGATTAGATCAGAACTCAATACTACAATAGAACAGCTCAAGTGAAGTGGGTTTGACTGTTAGGGAATGCAAGAACTGGTTAAAATTGTTATTCATGTAACCTAAAATGGTTTGAACTGCCAAATGCAAATGCTAATATTACTGATTTTGAACCATATTATAGTAAACATCAGTATTGGGGAATTAGTTTGTTACTATAGTTGCTGTGTCATCATGGCAACTGTAGAATTACCACAGCAGATCACTTACTATAGTGGTTGTGTTACCATAGCAACTGCAGAATCACCACATCAGATCAATGACTATAGTCGTTGTGTTACCATAGCAACCATGGAATCACCACATCAGACAAACTACTGTAGTCCTTGTGTTACCATAGCAACTTTAGAATCACCACAACAGATTAATTACTGTAGTTGTTTTGTTACCATGGCAACAATAGATTTCCCAGAACAGATTATTTAAAGTACTTCACTTTAGTTTGGTTCGAAAACACTAATATTTACTCTAAATTACTATAGTATTTTTTCATTTGGGCATGTGGTTACACCAAAGAAAAATGAAGTTAAAAGGAGTAAAAATGACCCCACTTAACCTTCACTTAGATTAGCATTTGTAAGCTTATTGCATATTTTAGCTTATTGCTAGCATGTTTAAAAAAGTTGCTGGCATGTTTCTGGAATGATAGCATGTTAAAACCAGTTAGGCACATGCTTTAGCACTTAGCTAACAAGTTTTAGAAAGCAATCATGTTATAAGAGTGAGTAACATGTTGTAGCACAACAAGATTTTTAACATGTTTTAGGGAGTTGTTGACATGTTTTCTCATATTGCTAACATAAGTTAGCATGTCTTGACAAGATGCTACCAAATTTCAGGAAGTTGATGGTCATGTTTGGTAGCTTTTTGGTATGTTTTAGCACCTTTTTCTAGCAGTTTTTTCAAACTACTTGCATGTTTTTGACAATACGCTACCAAGTTTCAAGTTGCTCATGTTGATATTTTGTTTTTAGCAGTTTTGTCAAGCTACTAGCAAGTTTAACAAGATGCTAATGTTTTTAAAAGAAAGTTAGCACACTTTGAATTCTCTTTCAAGTTATTAACATGTTTGAACACATTGCTAACCCGTTTAAGCAGTTTTAGCCACTCTGCTAACATGTTTTAGGAAGTTGTAAGTAGGCTTTATGAAGTAGTTTGCATGTTTTGTTCATTATCATGTGTTAACCCTTTGCTAACATGTTTTTTTAGCCTGACAAGATCATATCAAACTCTATCCACTAACATGTTTTAACTCATTGCCAGCCTGTTTTAGTTAGAACATGTTAGTGTTAGCTTTAACAAATTACTAGCATGTTTTTGTCACATTAGTAACAGGTTTCTTTTCCTCATATTGCTAACATGCATGATAGCATGTTTTGACAAGATATTACTAAATTTCTGGATGTTGTTCATGTTGGCATTTGTTGGAATGTTTTAGCATCCTTTGTTAGCAGTTTTGTCAAGTTACTAGCATGTTTAACAAGGTACTCATATTTTTTTTTTTATAGAAAGTTAACACACTGACGTGTCTTTCAATATACTAACATGTTTGAACACACTGCTAAACTGCTTAAAGCAGTTATAAATGTTTAGGTTAATGCTAACATGTTTTAATAAAGTAGGGAGCTAGCAAATTTCAAGTTAACTCTTTTTGACATATTGCTAATTGATGAAAGATAGGAAGTTATGCATATATTTTAGGAAATTGTCAGCATATTTTTTTCACATTGCTAACATGTTTTAGCACTCTGCTAACATGTTTTAAGATGTTGCTAATAGGCTTTATGAAGCAGTTTGTATGTTTTGTTCACTATCATGTTTAAATCCTTGGCTAGCATGTTTTAGCATGACAAGATGCTTTCAAACTTTATCTGCCAACATGTTTTAACACATTGCCATTGCCATTTAGTTAGTCATGACATGTTAGTGCTAGCACTTTTGTCAAATTGCTAGCATGTTTTTGTTGCATTTGTAACATGTTTTAAGATTTTGCTGACATGTTCTAAGAAAGTTAGCATGTTTGGACATGGTATAAGTACAATCATCTCAATATAAAGCTTCCAGCTTTTGTTTTCAAGGCTTTTATTTTCAATGTGCTTTAATTCCAAAGCCATTTATGTTTTCCAAGCCTTTCATTTTAACTAAAACCCTTTATTCTTAGTTAGCTGGATGATGCCTGACATACCTGCTTGAGTAGGCCTTAATTCAGTGCCACGGACAAAGAGAGAGACTTGAAAAAAATAAGAGTATTGTTTCCAGTTGCTGATTTTCCTGATCTAAATTACAGAACTGCAGGTCAATAGTGCCATACCCGCTCTCACTTTGCATTCCAGCAATGAAACCCACTTAAATAAGTGCAGGAATTAGACTTAATTGAGGGCAGCGAGAGTGTGTTTTTATGAAAAAGCAGGGTTAATGGGGTGCCTGGAAAGAAAATAGACATTGCTGCATGATGTGAAGTATGGGATTCCTCAGTGTATGTGTGTGCGTGTGTGTGTGTGTGTGTGTGCTTGTTCCTCTTGGCACGAGCTGAACCCAGGTTCACAAGAACAGCACATAAATGGGAGCCAGGACAAAAACAATAAACGATCACAGCGACGTCAGGAATTCCATTCACATTGCAATAGAACAGCGCTTACATGGACATTCATCCACATCTGACACATCATGACCTGTAAGAGCAGAAGAAAGAGCAGTGATAGTCTGCATTACTGACACTGGCCAATTATCATCCAGCAAAGTGATCTTGGTACTCACTGGGAGATTTTGCAGTTTGTGGTCTTGGCGTAGCGCCCTGTGTAGTGGATATTGCACCTCACTATATTGTTGGTGAAGTCCGACTCAAGCACCAAGTACTTTGGATTGACCTGGAGCTGGAATGTAAAGCGAAGTCAGACAATCATTGCTGTGAAGAAGTAAACGCAACCCATGATATATATATGTGCTCATGTTGTGGATGATATTGATGGTGGTGGGGGGTATAAAATCAATAATAAAAATAAGTTTTTTCAACAAAAATATGAGCAGGAATTTGTCTGTACGTGCAAAAATAAGTGCACCCCGATATATATGTGGTAATATCTTTGACAGAATCGAGGGGTGTAGGTAGTAGACGTTCAATAAAACAAGACAATAAAACTTCTTTAAAACAAGACTTTTTTTTTGCTTGTCTTGAATATGCTTCTTAATTTCAGAGTTTTTAGATATTTGGACTAACAACAAGACAAAAACTGAGTAAGAAAAGTTTTTTTTTTTTTTGCAGTGTGAGCACTAGCAGAGGCATTTTCCATTACTCCAAAGAGGGAAATATCTTGTGTCTACACTGTAAAAAAATAATAAAAAATAAATAAAATAAACGTAATAAACAGTACATTTCTGGCAGCAGGGGCTCCAGAGTATTACCGTTAAAAAATGGAAAATACTGTCAAAAATAAAAAATGTAGATAAAAAAAAAGTAATTTCTTGTTCCATGATTACACGTTATTACTGTCATTTTACAGATATTAAATGTAATTGTACAGGTTATTACTGCCATTTTACTAATTATTACTGTAATTATACAGATAATTAATGTGATTAAGGGTTATCACTGCAATTATACAGATTATTACTGTAAATACATAATTTATTACTGTAATTATACAGATAATTAATGTGATTAAGGGTTATTACTGCTATTATACAGGTAATTACTGTAATTATACAGATAACTAATGTGATTAAGGGTTATTACTGCAATTATACAGATTATTACTGTAATTATACAGATTATTACTGTCATACAAATTATTACTGTAAATACATAATTTATTACTGTAATTACACAGATAACTAATGTGATTAAGGGTTATTACTGCAATTATACAGATTATTTCTGTAATTATACAGATTATTACTATCATACAAATTATTACTGTAAATACATAATTTATTACTGTAATTACACAGATAACTAATGTTATTAAGGGTTATTACTGCAATTATACAGATTATTAATGTAATTATGCAGTTTATTGCTTTAATTTAACAGATAACTAATGTGATTATAAGGATAATTACTTTAATTATGCAGGTTATTGTTGTAATTATACAGATTAATTAATGTGATTTATAAGGATTATTACTGCTATTATACAGGTAATTACTGTAATTATACAGATAACTAATTTGATTATAAGGGTTATTACTGCAATTCTGCAGGTTTATTAATGTAATTATGCAGATTAATTAATGTGATTATAAGGGCTCTTACTGCAATCATGCAATTGTTAAATATGAGTTTATAGTCCTTGAAATCAGTCCATAACCATCTTCAGACTGTGTGTTTAATTAGGAACCTGGGTGTGCGAGGTGCATGCTGGGAGTTGTAGTTTGTTAAAGTAATGTGTGTGTAGTTTTCCAGCTAGATCACTGGTGATCATCACAGTCTGCATAGCAACATTGTTAGAGTAGTAAAATAAACATTTCATAGTTGACAGTGCATGCATTATATGCAGCCTACAAATAATAATCTATTATTTAACATTATTAACCCCACGTAATCGTCATATGATTTCTATCTTCACCAAATCAATTTGACTAATTTTTTGTTTTCTATTTTTACAGGAATAATATATAAATATTAATGTAAAATTACGTGTTACTCCCTAAAAATACTTAAAATTTCCTTTAAACAGCAGAAAAATACTGTGATACCAAATTACAAGCAATAACTGTAAATTTAATGTGAGAATATCTGTAAAACATTTCACTGTATAATGGAAAAACTGGAAAATTCTGTAAAAACACACAGACAATTACCTGTAAAATAACCTTTATCAGTGGAACACGTGCAAACAGAAATGACACGTCTCACTAAAGTTTTGTCAGGAGTGGTTATCTGATGTGCATTAAACGCTGTTGTCCAACGTGTCTGTACGATATTGATGATGTTGGGTAATGAGTTGGGTTCGCTCCCGCTGCAAAGCGTACACCCTGTGCTCATAAATAAGACAGATACAGGCATGCCTCGCTGTTTCTGCAAGTGCATCCTAGACTCTCACTTTCTGACCCTCAGCAAAACAACAGCACAATAGCTGAAGCACAACTGTGTTAAAAGAGGTCACCGCTACCTTCTGCTCCAGGGCTAAACTCAGATATCTTTTCATAGCATTGCTGGAGAATTGCATTTTGAGCTGGATCTGCTGGGAGAATCTTACTTAGAGTTTTTGCCTTGTTTCTAGTGCAAAAATCTAAATATTCTTTAAGCAAGAAGTTTTTTCTTAAAACAAGCAAAATAATCTGCCTATGGGGGAAGCGGAATAATCTTATGTCAAAAGGAAAAACAAGATCATTTCGGTTCCCCCATTGGCAGATTATTTAGCTTGTTTTAAGAAAAAACTCGCCTTATTATAGCTCATTATTTCTGAAAACAAGACAGTATTTTTTGCTTGTCTAGAAAATGCTTCTTTATTTCAGAATATTTAGATATTTGAACTAGAAACAAGACTAAAACTCTAGAAAAGAAAAGCACTGTAGGGTGAAACAGGAGACTGTGTGTAAGTGTTTTGTTCTCCTTTGAGAATGTTACCTTCAGTATGTAGTTTCCTGGCTGAACATCAGTGATGTCAATCCATTGGCAGTCGATATCTGCATTGTATGTGTCGAAGCAACCCGGACTGAGACCCTGGAGAATTAAAACAAATGAAAACGTTCAGTATAATACAAATACAATGGCTAATAATTCTTGGATTAAAAAAACTAAAACATAAACACATAGCAAACCACAGTTGCATAGTTAAGCATGAAAATCAAAGGTCTTCAGAGTTTCTATTGCACCGCAAGAACGCAAAATGACTCCATATGAGATCCCACTTTGGTGTGAGTTTCCCCTTCAAAAATATATCTAAATTGGTGCATTCATTCATTCATTCATTCATTCATTCATTTTCCTTCGGCTTAGTCCCTTATTTATCTTAGTCTGTGCTATGACAAAAGTTGCAGAACCCTGCTATAAATAACGTCATTGCGAGTAGCAGCAGATGATATTGACCTGTGTGTGTGCAGTGCAGGCGTATCTCTTCAGATGGCCGAAGTCGCAGGTCGTGTCCTCCAGACAGAAGCTGGCTTTGTGTCCCTCCGCCACTTTTCGGCCACTGCTGACCTCCAGCAGATCATAGTGACTGAACTCGTCCATACTGTGGTAATGCCTGATGGAGACAAGAGACATGCAGTTGAGGTCAGAATTATTCGCCCTCTTGTCATTATTATTATTATTATTATTATTATTATTATTATTATTATTATTTTCTTGCTAATATTTCCCTAATGATGTTTACCAGATCAAGGATTTTTCCACAGTATTTTCTATAATATTTGTTCTTCTGGAGAAAGTCTTATTTGTTTTATTTGGGCTAGAATAAAAGCAGTTTTTAATTGTGTTAAAGTCATGTTAAGCTCAATATTATTGGCCCCTTCAGCAATATTAGTGTTGGGTTGTCTCCAGAAAAAACCACTGTTATACAATGACTTGCCTAATTTTCAAATAAAATTTTTTGTATTTTCACTTTAATTTTAAACATAAAGTAATTAGCGTTTTATCATTTATGCAAATTAAAATAGTTATTTTTTTAAATTTATCAATTGCTCATTTGTTAAATGTTTTGTTTTTAAATGTTTAAAAAAATTATTAGTTAAAATATTAGTAATGTTCTGTTTTTGATAAGTAGATAACGTTCATTATCTTCAATTTATTTAAATGCTATTTTATTAGTGCATTTAAAATGCCTGTGGGGTGGTGCGGTGGCTCAGTGGTGTCGCACTGTGGCCTCACGGCATGAAGGTCATTGGTTCAAGTCCCGGCTGGGTCAGTTGGCGTTTCCGTGTGGAGTTTGCATCTGATTTGGATTCAGATTCGTTCAGAATTTTGGCTGTGCGTGCGTGTGTGTGTGTGTGTGTGTGTGTGTGTGTGTGTGTGTGTGTGTGTGTGTGTGTGTGTGTGTGTGTGTGTGTGTGTGTGTGATTCAGAGTTTTGGCTTATGGCTGCTGGAATGTCTGTCATCCCGTCATCAAATAGGTTTTAATATGTTTGGCGCACACACACACACACACACAAACACACACACACACACAGAGGCTGATGATGAATGCAGTATCCCTGTGGAAAATATGAGCTGTGTCCATGTCAGAGGAAAGTACCTGTGCTTTAGCTGTTTCGCAGCTCTTCAGGTATGAGCAGCTCTTTCCAAAACACACACACACAATACTGAACAAAAGCGGTGTGGAGATTCAGATCTGCTCATTTAGAAGATCATCATCATCATAATAATGTCTTTACTAACACACAACACACTGCACTCAGATGCTGGAGAGTCAGTGTGTGCTCATTCACTTGTTTGTTTTTTGATGGACTTGTAAGGGAGGATAGGAATGATAATAGTAATGAATAAAATAGTGCCTGAAGCTCCAAAAAAACTCAATATTGCAATTTCACTTGGTGATACCAGACTGTTCATTCATTCATTTATTCATTCTTTCTTTCTTTCTTTCTTTCATTCATTCTATTTTATTTGTTCGTTCATTCATTTATTTTCTCCTTAATTCATTGATTCATTCATTGATTCATTTATTTATTTATTTATCTATTTATTCTTTCATTCATTCATTCATTCATTCATTCATTCAGTCTCTTACTTTCATTTGTTTATTCATTCATTCATTCTCTTTCTTTCATTTGTTCATTCTCTTTTATTCATTCATTAATTTATTTTCTCTTTCATTCATTCATTCATTCATTCATCCATTCTCTTTAATTCGTTCGTTCATTCATTAATTCTCTTTCTTTCATTCGTTCATTCTCTTTTTCATTTGTTTGTTCATTCATTTATTTTCTCATTCATTCATTCATTCATTCATTCATTCATTCATTCATTCATTCATTCATTCAGTCTCTTACTTTCATTTGTTTATTCATTCATTCATTCATTCTCTTTCTTTCATTTGTTCATTCTCTTTTATTTATTCATTCATTAATTTATTTTCTCTTTCATTCATTCATTCATTCATTCATTCATTCATTCATCCATTCTCTTTAATTCGTTCGTTCATTCATTCATTCTCTTTCTTTCATTTGTTCATTCTCTTTTATTCATTCATTAATTTATTTTCTCTTTCATTCATTCATTCATTCATTCATTCATTCATTCATTCATTCATTCATCCATTCTCTTTAATTTGTTCGTTCATTCATTAATTCTCTTTCTTTCATTCGTTCATTCTCTTTTATTTGTTTGTTCATTCATTTATTTTCTCATTCATTCATTCATTCATTCATTCATTCATTCATTCATTCATTCATTCATTCAGGCTCTTACTTTCATTTGTTTATTCATTCATTCATTCTCTTTCTTTCATTTGTTCATTCTCTTTTATTCATTCATTAATTTATTTTCTCTTTCATTCATTCATTCATTCATTCATTCATTCATTCATTCATTCATTCATCCATTCTCTTTAATTCGTTCGTTCATTCATTCATTCTCTTTCTTTCATTCGTTCATTCTCTTTTGTTCGTTCGTTCGTTCATTTATTTTCTCCTTCATTTATTCATTCATTCATTTTCCTTCGACTTAGTCTCTTTATTTCTCAGGGGCCGCCAACTTATCGGGCATATGTTTTACACAGCAGATGCCCTTCCAGCTGCAACCCAGTACTGGGAAACACCCATACACTCTCATTCACACACACACACACACACACTCATACTCTATGGACAGTTTAGTTGATCAGTTCCCCTATAGAGCATGTGTTTGGACTGTGGGGGAAACCGGAGCACCCGGAGGAAACCCACACCAACACGGGGAGAAATAATCTTGTTTTCGAAATAAGTTTATTCCTCTTACCCCATTGACTGAAGGGAAAGCTCACTTCATTTTGACATTAATTCTGAAAACAAGACCATATTTTTGCGTGTCTAATAAATGCTTCTTGATTTAAGAATCTGGATATATTTGGACCGGAAACAAGACTAAAACTGTAAGTAAGACGAGCAATGTTTGCAGCGCAGTACAGATCGTGTATGTTTATCTCTGAGAGTTTCCAGCAGAAGAAGAGCTGTTTGGCCATGAAGGAGCTGATCTGTATTTGCTCACACACACATGCATCTCAGCTTTGACATGTTTGATATGGAGTGGAGATTAAACGTGTCCTTGGCGGAGATGAAAATCACACAGATCACACACACAGAGCTCTCAGAGGAGAAAGCTTTATTTATTTACATGCATGCAAGCAGAACTCAAGCTGACAAACTCACTGCTTTATTCTCGCCATCGATTCCTGATTAAACCTGAAGTGTTAAAAGCGCAGCACACTCAGATAATTACTCGTGCTGCTACTTATTCAACATGAGTTTTAAATAGGGTGGCACGGTGGCTCAGTGGTTAGGAATGTCGCCTCACAGCAAGAAGGTTGCTGGTTCGAGTCCCGGCTGGGTCAGTTGGCGTTTCTGTGTGGAGTTTGCATGTTCTCCCCGTGTTGGCATGGGTTTCCTCCGGGGGCTCCGGTTTCCCCCACAGTCCAAACACATGCACTATAGAGGGATTGATGAACTAAACTGGTCATAGTGTATGAGTGTGCATTGGTGTTTCCCACTACTGGGTTGCAGCTGGAATGGCATATACTGTAAAACATACTGTATGCTGGAATGGTTGGTGGATTATTCCGCTGTGGCGAACACAGATAAATAAGGGACTAAGTCGAAGGAAAATGAATGAATGAATGAATGAATGAAAATGAACACAGTTTTTATGTTTTATGAGGACAACTTAATTATTTTATGTTCAATCTACTTAAATTTGTAAAAACTATTAAGCTAGTTTCATAGATTTGTGTGGGGACGGCATGAAGGAATTGTGTAGATGTGGACTCACTGATGGCAGCTGTGCCACTCCCAGGTGTGTCGCGGCCGGTTGGGCATGAAATCTGCCGTGCCCTGGTTCTTCACCCGCTGAGGGAAACGCAGCAGAACTCGAACACTGTAGTCTGTGGTTTCAGCATTATAGGCAGAGCTGAGGAGGGAGAAAACAAAGCAGGAGTCATGAAAACCTCAACACATCGTGCAACTCTGAGTGTGCCTCACACAGGTGAGTGGGCTTGACAAACCACCTGTAGAAACACTAGTATCTCTATAAAAACACTCCCCTCTAACTCTATATCTGAGCACATTTCTTTGTGTAATTAGCACTCTTTCTGTGTTTTGCCTCTTCTTGTTAATTGTAAGCCGCTTTGGACAAAACGGTCTGCTAAGTGTAAATGAAGCATGCTGGATTTATAGTGGATAAAATAAGTATTAAATACGTCTTGAATTTCCCTGATGAATATTTTCTGAAGCAGAAATGTGGTGAAAATTTCATGTCAACATCACCTTTAAAAATATGTCTTCTTTGAAAAATGGTGATGCATTTACTGTGTATTTGAGATGAGCTGATAACAGCCGGCTGGAGTTTATACGATGTGACGCCACCCAAGCTTCTGCATCTGTCGGCCTGCTCATTGGCTGATTGCGGTGTTATTGCAGGCACTGGTGTAAACTGTTGCTGTGTAAATACAGCCTGTCTGGCTTTGTTTGGTGAGAAACGGAAGAATAAAGGGTGTAGTGTTGAGATTTCTCACCTGGCCAAACATTTCTCCTCTGCAGCACAGCGTAAGGAGTACATATGGGCTCTCTGGACGTATGTGGAGGCCTGGACGTAATTCGGGTCAGGAACCAGGTCAGGCAAACCTAAAGACAGGAGACACCATCAGAGTCTGTGTGATTTACGAGGTGTTGTCTTCATGGGGACCAAAAAATGCCCCCAAAAGGTCAAATTACTGGTATTGCTATACTTGTGGTTATTTGAAATAAACATTTGGATTAAAATGTACTTCCACACACACACACACATATATACAGAGAGAGAGAGAGAAATAAATCACACAGAAGGAGAAAATAATCTCTAACTCTTCTCAAGCTGGCTTTCCAATAGTCTTTAGAAACCCTACAAACAAACCGGTCTGAAAAATGTCTAAAATCGCAAATCTGATCAGTCTGACCATCTGAAATGTGCCCCAAACCACTCTGGAACTACCCAAAAACCAATCTGATCATGTAAATTTTCCAAAACCACTCAAACAACTGGTTTAAAGACTTCCAAAACTCCACTATGATGGCAAAAATGTCCAGTTTGACCATTTGAAAGGTGTCCAACACTACTCTAAAACTATTAACTGAACTGACCATCTGAAAAATGAAAAATAAATAAATAAATAAATAATAATAATAATATGAAAAATAATCTCTCTTAAAATGAACAAACAGATCAGCCTGGCCAGTTGAAAAATCTCCAAAACAAGTCTTAAACCACCAAACCAACCATTCAGACCACTGAAGAGTGTCCAAAACCATTCTAACAATAAAAACTCATCAGCACTGACACCAGAAAAGTGCTCAAAACCACTCTAAAACCAACAGACCAACCGGTCTGGCCACATGAAAAGTTTCCAGAACTGCTGAACAACTGGGTGGAACTCCTAAATATTCAAATTACAGTACAGTGGAGAAAAAAGCTTCATGTATGATTTAAATAGGGTTAAGTGTATCTAACTCTTCTCAAGTTGGCTTTGTGATGGTCTGTAGAAACAACACAGTCTGAAAAAAATGTCCAGAACCACAAAACTGACAAGTCTGACCACCTGGAAAGTGCCAAAAGCCACTTTAAAACAACCAAACCAACCAATCTGACCATGTGAAAAGTTTCCAGAACCACTAAATACATTTGCTGCACACCTGGCAAGGTCCCAAAAACAGTTAAGAACATGCGACTGATCAAGTCTGACCACCTGAAAGTGCCACAAACCACTCTGAAACTACCAAACCAACCAATCTGGCCTTGTAAAAAGTTTCCAAAACCAATCAAGCAATTGGTTTGACCACCTAAAAAGAGTCCCACACTCCACTATGATGGCCAAAATGTTTAGCTTGAACATCTGAACTGTCCAAACTTAAAACTAACAAACAGATCAGCTTGGCTCGCTGAAAAATCACCAAAACAAGTCACAAACCACCAAACCAACCATTCAGACCACTAAAAAGTGTCTAAAACTCATCAAGATTGACAACAGAAAAGTGCTTAAAACCACCAGCCCAACCAATTTGGCCACATGAAAAGTTTCCCAAACTGCTGAAAAACTGGCCTGAGCACCCAAAAAGCCAAATTAAAGTGGAGAAAAAAGCTTCATATATGGTCTAAGTAGGGTTTAGGCTGGTCTCTAATGTTTTTTAAACTGGGTTTCTGATGGTCTCTAGAAACCCTACAAACAAACCAGTCAGAAAATTGTCAAAAAACACAAAAACGACAAGCGTGACGATCTGAAAAGTGTCCAAAATCACTTTTAAACCACCAAACCAACCATTCTGACCAAATGAAGTTTCCAGAACTGAGCTGACCATCTGAAAAATTATCAAGTCTTAAAATTAACAAATAGATCAGCATGGTCAGCTGAAAATCTCCAAAACAAGTCTTGACCAAACCAACCAACAGACCACTGAGTAGAGTCCAAAACCATTCTAACAATAAAACTCAAGACTGACGCCAGGAAAATGCTCGAGATCACCAAACCAGCCAATCTGCCCACATCAGAGTTTTAAAAACTACAGAAAAAAGCTTCATATATGGTCTAAGTAGGGTTTAGGCTGGTCTCTAACCCTCCTCAATCTAGCTTTCTGATGGTTTCTAGAAACCCTACAAACAAACCAGTCAGTAACATGTCAAAAACCACAAAACTGACAAGTCTGACCACCTGAAAAGTGCCCAAAGCCACTTTTAAACCACCAAACTAACCAATCTGACCTGAACTGACCACCTGAAAAATAATAAATGCTCAGCCTGGTCTTAAACCATCAAATCAATCCATTGGACTACCGGAAGAAAGTAAAAATAATCACAGTAAAACCACCAAGAATATGAGCATGACCACCGGAGTGCTGTTAAAATCTCTTTTAAAAACAATTGAACTTTCCTGACCACCTAAAAAGTGCCCCAAACTCTTCTACAATCATTAAAAACTCCATCAGCTCTGCAGGAAAGCAGAATACGCTCGTATTATTGTACATTTCTTTCGTCAGCTGGGTAATGACAATGTCAGGTCTCGCAACACGCTGTCCCGAGGACAAATGTGCTGCTTTAATGTTCTGAGCTGTTCTGATGTTACATACCTTTAAATGTAAAAGGAAGTGAAATATTTGAAAAATGTCTGTATCCACATAAGAATACCTTTGAAAAACACACATGAGATGAAGAGGGGTTTTCATGAGGTAATGCTGGAGCCTCGCAGTATAATGCATCAAACACTGTTTCTCATCTGGTTTCAAGGTCACGCAAGAAAAGAAGAGAAAAAGAACAAAGTGTTGCATGGAAAGAGAGAGAGAGAGAGTACAGAATGAGGGAGAGGTGACAGCGAAACGAAAATGAGATCACTGCTCTGCTGGATCCAAATTGGGCCTGTGACCAAGTCTGCTAAAAAAGAGAAAAAAGAAAGATGAATAAAAAAGAAAAACAGAGCAAGCTGTGACAGCTAATGTTCATAAACTCCCAGCCAAGCTGTACAGGAACTGCTTATCACCTTTATTTACACTTAAAACGCTAGCTGGCCGCGTTCACTTCATGTCTGAAAAATCTTATGAATATAATAAGTGTGCAATGGAAGTCCTTAGGTGACATTAACATTTCTTCAAAGGCAATGCCACAACATATCTGCTTTCCTGCTTTGCATGTAATGGATTTCAGAGAAAAGAGCCCTGTTGAGAAGAGCAGCACTGATAGACTCAAACATAACTTACTGGAGTCCTGCCAGGCGTCTTAACTCTTTCGCCCCAAAGCAATAAATAAAAGAAGCTAGCCACCACCAGAATTTTTATATGGCTTTCACCAAAATTTGACTGCCTTCAGAATATTTTCTGCTGCATGTGCATATTTCTGTGCGCATCATGTGAGAAGTAAAGTGCATTTACATGCAGGCTGTTGTTATCGCAGAATACAGCACGACACATTTATTAGGGTTGATTCTGTCCAAACAACCGGCTGGATGTACTTTATCCTGCTTATTACACAGCGACTTGCCACAAAAGCCCCTTTCACACAGTGATACCAGTAAATATCTGGAAAATTTCCGGAACGACTTTACCGGTATATTCAAAAAAGCGCTGTTCACACAGGCGAGGACGTTACGGAAATTTTCCAGAAAAGAGCATTCACACATCCATTCCCAAATACCGGTAAATTCTGACATCATTCACCACAAATGAGCTTTAAACGGCTGCGCTTGTATGTGTAAACATTTGACTACATCACAAACTCTGTGGATGATCAATATTGTGAACAACTTTCGCAGGATCACTTTCGCATGTCGAGATGTTCATAATATGTGCGTGTGCAGGCGCTCATAGGCTGTATTACAGGCACACGCAAAGCTTGAAGGTAAACAAACAACGGCTTATCATAAGCATCTCATCGATGATTATTTACACAGTTGGCATTAAGAAGAACATATAAACGTGACCTGACTAACTTCTAGCAGCTAAATGTGTCTGGAAAAATATTTAAAGGCTTTAATTCTCATAAACCGCGCGGATGTAAATGCGTCTGACTGTTGTGATTGGCTAAAGCAGACGTCTCACGTCAGCACGTTCCAGACGTGCACGCGCTCTTTCCGGCAATCTTCCTTCTGCATTCACACAGCGCAGCATTCCGGCAAATTGCCGGTAATGTTACAACTTCTCTTTCCGGAAAATAGCCAGAACGAATTTACCGGTATTTTCAAAAAGGACCTGTTCACACATACACACCTTTCGGAAAGGTCTGTATGTGTGAAAGGGGCTAAAGTGCGGTTTATTTATAAACTAATTTCGAGAGGATCACATGTTTATGATTAAACACAGCTGGTTCTGCATCAGCTCTGTATATTGCGCCAATCAGTTGAATACTGACTCACTAAAAATAACCAGAGTTTTCCACTTCAGTCATCTTCGTCCCCCTTCCACCCTTACTCCTCTCCTTCTTCTCATAGGGCGGCATGGCGACCCAGTGGTTAGCACTGTTGCCTCACAGCAAGAACACCACTGGTGATCCTTCACCAGGCCAGTCTGTGCTTCTGTGTGGAGTTTGCATGTTCTCTCCATGCTCACTTGGGTTTTCCCTGGGTTCCCTGGCTTCCTCCCATCATCCAAAAGACATACACTATAAGTTAATTAACTACTCCAAAGTATCTTAACCAGCTATATTTCAGCTAAGCAGGGGAGTTCTTGAGACCTACCTGAGCTCAAACTCCCCTCTCGCCCTTCAAACAGGAGGAAGCCCTGATCTTGAGGATATTTACGCCATAGTATTCTGTTGTTTCCAGCCAGGGGGTTTACTCAAAGCGAGCATGTGTAGTGCAGATCTGCTCTCACTTCCGCTGCAGGCATGTTTGGAGCTGGGAGATACTGTACTTTCCCTCTATAAAACATGATGGCCTTGGTCGCTCTGCTCATTTCTGAGCTGTTAGTGCCGGCTGTGTACTCTAGTGAATGCTTTGCCATCCCCATCTCTGTTTACATGACTGACTTCCAGACCTTAAGGCCTCAGGAAACTTTCTTGGTCAGTTCTTGTAAACACTGTAAAGAGAGTGTGAAAGATACACACTTCTGCACAAAGCTCTGTCCTCTGGATATCAGCATACACCAGTGTGGAAGTAGATTTGCACATA